GACACAGACCGTGGGCCTCATCAGGAGCGAGCACCAGACAAACCCAATGTGGGGGCTCCACAGAAGCAGAGGAAAGGCTGAGGAAGTGATCCCGGCTGGAGGAGGAGAAAGGGACGTGACCGCTAAAGGCAGCGTGGGATTCTAAACTGGCTTCTTTCACGTGAGGACGCTGAAAGTAGGGTGGGGTCTGAGGATTAGATGGCAGTGACGGGCTAACGCTAACTTCCTGGGTGGGACCACGGTTATCTGGATGGAACGAATGCCACTGCTTCAGCAGAACACAGACACCACAGTGCTCTGCAGTAAGAGGGCCTGCTCAGGTTAGCAATTTGATCTTTGATCGGTTCAGAAAAAAATATTCTTTGTATTGTACTCCCAATTTTTCTATAACTTTGTGGTTGTTGCAAAATTTTTTTGATTAAAAAAAGAAATGCCTACCTAGGGCTTTTCAGAAATATAGCCACTGAACTCGGTGAGGTACAAATGCGCACGACGGAAAACTAAAGGACCGTTGTACTCTTTGTCTTGGATCTCTGGTCAAATGACTCTGGAAAGAGTGTGTGTGCCAGCTCATCAGCCAGGCGCAGAACTCTCGCCGCCCACGGTACCTGGTAGTCGGGGCCCGACGCCCAGCCATGAAGCTTCCTGGGAGGTGGCTGAGGCTCTGGCACCTTTCGGACGACACGAGACATGCCCACTGCATCCGCCCAGTCCTTTCCTTCCTCTTGAGTACGTTTGGCATCAGCACTGTCTGCGGAGCTCATCGACAACTGCCGCTGCCTTCTGGGGTCCCAACTGTTCCTAGGACAAATGCACTTTCTGTTAGGTTTTCCAAGTCAGTCCAAGCATGTCCGATCTCACCAATCAGAGGCCTTTGGGAACTCTAAAGTCAAGCTGCTCATATACCAATTTCCTTCATCAGAATAGAGGCCCCGTCTCTTATGTGTGAACTCCAAAATTCAGCACGAACATTTATCAAGGCAATCTTTTACACAAAGCCCCAGGAGGGATGTGCCACACTGTTATTTCATTGACTACAAAAAAGTCCTCATTACCCCCTCATTTTAGAGTCAGTAACTAAGTCTCAGAGGTTAAGGGAACTACTCTCGCAGGGCGGAGCTCACAGAGTTGAACCAGGACTTCCAGACACGTGTCCCTCTCCTTACACAACAGCTCCCTCCTGTGCTCTGCCCAGAAGGTGTTCAGTAAACACTGCTCAAAAGAACAGAAGACGACCACTGACTAGCACCGTAACAGAAAGAGGAAGAGGAGCAAAGCAAAGCACACAGTGTGGGAAAGGAAAAGACAAGCCCCAAGGCAGAGTTAGGGAAGGCTCGACAAGAAGGGAGTCTGCGCCGAGCTCACCCAACATGCTGTAGTGGGGCACAGATGCGGGCAAGACACAGGTGTGCATTTACAAGTGCCCAGTACAGCTGGCAGAAGATCAGAGAAAAGCGAGGGTCGGGTGTGCTGCCATGCGTGTCTGCGTGTGTCCATGCACACACACATATGTGGAGGTGGAGGGAAGACGAGGCAGGTAAGGTGGATTAGGGGAGGACAGAAAGAGTGACCACTGCTAGCAACTTGACTTTGCGAGAAACAGAGACCACACAAAAGCTTCTGGCCCATCAGAAGATCTGTGTTTTTAGAAGATGACTATAGCAGAGTGTGAAGGCCGGGCCATAGGAGGTTAGGATGGAAGGAAAGGGATGAACTGGCAGGCCCCTGGATGGTCCAGAAGAGATGGATGCTGGTCCCAGTGGTCCCAGGGACAATGAACAGGAGGGAACGGAGCCAGAGGAAGTTTCAAGAGCCAATCAGGCATGAGGAAATAAAGAAGATGTCAAAAAAGACTTGGAAGCTTGTAGTGAATTTTTGGGAGTTGGGTGTCATCAATTGGCTCAGAGAACATCAGAAAAAGAGCTCGTTTCGGGAGGAAGTAGTTTGGGCATTCTGAATGGGAGGTGTCCTTGGTCATGGCCGGTAACAAAGCTGGGCCCAAAACCCATGTCTAATTTTCAACTGAATATTCAATTCACATTCCCTGAAAGAGACAAGGAACAAAGTGTCCTACTGCTCCAATAAGCCTGTAAGATTTTATGTCTCTACCTTTGATTTAAATGCTTGGTCACATCTCCTTCCGAGCTTAGTGTTCCAATAACTGACCTGTAGATGTCTCAGCTACATCCAAAGCTTTGGATAAAATTAAAAAGCACGAAAATAAATTACGGAAGCCTCCACTAGCTCATGTTTTGTGTATCATCAAAGAAAGATGATAGATTGTCGCCAGCTCCTTTCGGGAGAGGGACACCGCAGGGGCTTTGAAGTGCAAGATGAAATAACGAAAAATAGACTTGCAGATTTGACTGTATAAACATCCACTTATTGACAAGAAAATAGGCAAAAATATATCTGCAACATAAGAGAGCATGAATAGCTTAACAATATAAAGCATTAATCACATTTTAATCAATGTGTGAAGGAAATGGACAACTCCCTAAAGGAAATGCCGTAAGGAAAAGCATTCTCATTTGCTAGCACTCACAAAAGTGCAACCACAGGTAGTATTCAGAAAGTACTAGCCAATGCTACTGCTACTACAATAAAAACTGGAAGGACCAGGATACAGTGCAATTTCCCAAGGTGCACCGAGTAAAACTAGTCCAATGAAGTGATCCCAAAAAGAGAGAAAAGTGGCCAGGCGAGCTTGGGCAACGTGGCGCAGGCCCTGCTCACTGCTGCCCCCACCTCCCGAACCACTCCAGCACAGCTCAGGAACTGCAAGATCTTGCCTAAAGAAGGAAGCGGAACCCAGGGTGGTTTCCCAAACTTGCTCGGCCACAGAGGCCTTTTGGGGCCTGATACCCACGAACATCTGTGGAAGAAGTGGGCTGCGTAACACACTCAGGCAACACCGGCACACGGTTACAAGGTTCACCGAGCACAGGATTCAGGCATGCCTGGTACAAACCTTGGCTCCACTCTGCAACAGCTATCCTCAGTAGCTGTCGTCCCCACTGCAAAATGGAAACAACATCGGCCCTCTGAGGTTGCTATGGAAACTAGGAAATGCACTCCGCATGGTGACCACGTAGCAGCACCACAGGCATGAACGTGCTCACACGGCGCTGGTGCCAGGAGACACTGGGACGGTGCTGGAGCAGGGACGGGGAGCCTTACCACTTTGGCCTGCCATCCTTCACAACTTCTTCCTCCTCTTCATCATCACTGAACTTTAATTTCTCAGAATAGTCCACTTCTTCATGGAGGCCTACAACAGGAGGGACAGAATGTCAGCAGTGCCCAGGGTACTGGGGCAGACCCTCCTTCAGTCGGAAATTACGCTGCCCCAGGGCAGGAGCGGGGTCACACCAGCCAGCTGCCTGCACTAGGACAAGGGCAGTTCCGGCTCTGGTAAGAGCCAAGTGGCTTGGTTGGACTAGCCCTCCCGCAGATAACAATTTTTACATCTGGACAAAATATTTTTAAAATGTATTACTATTTCAAGGCACAAGAGAGTCAGTAAAGCAGGCAGAAACCAGATAGGAGTCTACCCTTGAGGTGCAGAAACTTTACCAGCGAGCTGTGTGAGTTACCATTTAGCCCCAGGCACTGCCCGGCCCGGGAGGCTCGGGAGGCAGAGTGTCCATCAGCTGAGGGGTGGGTCACCAAAATCTATAGAGCCACGATGAATATTATTTGGCCATACAGAAGAAGGAATATGGATACAGGCTACAACATGATTAACCTTGAAAACATTATCCTAAGCGAAGAAGTCAAACATGAATGGCTCCACACTGCTGGATTCCATTTACGTGAAATGTCTGTCCCGAAAATGCAAATCCACAGTGACAGAGAGAAGTCAGCAGCTGCCAGAAGACTCAGCGGGGACAGAGTGCCTGCTAACAGGTTCGAGGTTTCTTTGGGTGACGGAAACAATCTAGAACTGGACAGTGGTGATGGCCGCAAAACCTTGTCACAAATTTGTAGACTTTAAAAGGGTGAACTTTATGTCACATGAAAATTTATGTGAACCATATTTTCTTTTTTTTAAAAAAGTAACATTAAAGACCCAATCAAATTAAATGTCAGAGTTAGGTGTAAGACGAAAAGCAAGTTGCAAGTACATGCTGTCTGTCAGATAATCACCTTTTTTTTTTTTTTTTGAGACAGGATCTAGCTCTGTCATGGGCTAGAATGCAGTGCCATCACCATAGCTCACTGCAGCCTCAAACTCCTAGGCTCAAGTGATCCTCCTGTCTCAGCCTCCTAAGTAGCTGGGACTACAGGTGTGTGCCACAATGCCTGGCTAATTTTTCTATTTTTTGTAGAGACAGGGTCTCGCTATGTTGCTCAGGCTGGTCTTGAACTTCTGGTTCTCAAGTGATCCTCCTGCCTAGGCCTCCCAAAGTACTGGATTACAGGCATGAGCCACTGCGCCTGGCCTAAATAATCACTTTAAATATGAACACAAATGGGTTAAAAGGAAAAGAACAGAAAAATACGTTCCATGAAAACAATAAATAAAGTCAGAGTGATGGGTATGAACACAGAACAAAAGAGACCACAAGATAACAAGCATTACTAGAGGTAAGAGGAACGTGGAAATATTACAAAGGGCTGATATACCAGGAAGACGGAAAAACTACACATACGTATGCCTAATAACAGCTTCAAAATAAATGAAGCAGAAACCAACAGAATTAAAGGAAAAAACAGATAAATCCATAATTAGAGTAGAGAGCTTAATACCTAACTTTCAGTAATTAACAGGACCAGACACTAATCACTAAGTATGTAAGATCTGAATATCACCATCAACCACCTTGACTAAACTGATATTGACAAAACATGATACCCAACAAACGTAGAGTGTATATTCTTTTCAAGCACACTGAGAATATTCTCCAAGATAAATAATATCAACAAATTCCTAACCAAAATGCCTGCAGGTTCTTTGTCAACACTAACAGGTTAATTCTAAACTTATATGGAAATGCAAAGAACTTAGAATAGTCGAGCAATCTTGAAAAAGAAAGTGGGAAAACTTACACTACCTAAATTTAAGACTTACTATAAACTACGCTGTGGTATCGGCATAAAGATGAACAAACAGCGTCCAGAAATAGACCAACACTCTTGTGGTCTATTGATTTTTGGCAAAGGTGCCAAAGCAATTCAATAGGGAAAGGGAACTCTTTTCAACAACTGATGCAGAAAAACTGGATATCTATATAGAAAAAAATTTAACCTCGACTCCTACTTATATCATATACAAAAATTAATCCAATGTGAATCAAAGACCTAAAATAGTTAAACTATAAAATATCAGGGAATAACTTTACCACCAAGGGGAGGTAAAGATTTTTATAGACAGGACACAAAAGTAATAACCATAAAAAACCCCAAATTTATAAATTAAACTTCAAAATTAAAAATTTCTGCTCGTCAAAACATAATGTTAAAAAAAATGAATACCCAAGGAATGCAATGGGAAAACATACTTGCAAAATATAAGTTGCAAAGGACTTGCATATCCAGGACGGGTATCCTATCCTCAATTAAAAAAAATGCACAGACACTAAATGAGGACAATGTACCAGTAGTCAAACAGCACATGAAAGCATGTTTATCATCATTAGTCATCAGCAAAATGCAAATTAAAAGCATAATGAGATACCACTACACACCCACTAGAACGGCTAAAATTAAAAAGACAAACACGCAAATGTTATGAGGATGTAGAGTAGTCAGAGTCCCACACACGGCCGCTGGGAATGTGGAATGGCATGACACAAGGGAGGGTGGATGGCTCCTGCGAACCTAATCACACCCTGCCCTTTCACCCAACACTTCTAGATATCTACCTGAGAGAAGTAAAAATACTATTTATAATGGGACTTTTGAATAATAAGTAAATTATAGTATATTGACCCAATGGAACATATCTCAACAATTAAGCAACTGACACATATGGCATTGATGACTACCAAAAACATCATACAAGAGTACAAACTGACTCCATTCATTCGAAGTTCGATAACACGCAAAACTCATCTATGGTAAAATTAATCAGAAGAGCAGCATACTCCTGGGCGGTCAGGCGTGCCACTCGGGAATGTGCTATATCTCAACACAGGTGTACGTGACACATCTGTATCCGTCTGTCAAAATCGTACAATTAAGGTGTGTGCCTTTCAATGTAATTAAAATTTACCGGAAAATAAACAACAAAAAGAATTACAGAAGAAAATAAGCAGGTTGGCGGGCGAGGAGTGGGTGGAGTTAAAGAAATAAGAACGGCAGAACAAGCTGGGCGCAGTGGCACACGGCTGTGGTCCCAGCTGCTCAGGAGGCCGAGGCGGGAGAATTGCTGCCCAGGAGTTCCAGGCTGCAATGCGTTATGATCACACCTGTGAACAGCTACTGTACTCTGGCCTGGACAACATAATGACATAGCGAGACCCACCTCTTAAAAAAACAACAAAAAAAGAGAGAATGGCAGAACATTCGTACTTATTAAAGCTAGGTGATGGGTAGCTGGGAGCTGATTATTTTATTTTGTTTAAATTTTCCATCAACAGTTTTTTTAAAAAGTTAACATGACTTTTCTAGCCATTAAAACTACAGGGAAAAAGAAGTTAACACACTGTAAGATCAAGACCAAAGACCAAAAGAAGGGGCTTGGTCAGGAGGTAACCTGTGGTCCGACTGAAGACGAGGACAAACGCAGGCCACCGCAGCTGCTTCCCTGGCCTCCCACCTCCTGCCCTCCTAGCGCGCCCACCGGCAAGCACCACAGCCCACCTGCCCAGCCGTCGTCAGCATCCGTGTCCAGATCGTCAAGGCCCTTCAGGTTTTCCGCGTTGATGATGGTGGGCCGCGGCGCCCGTTCCACCAGCTGCCTCAGTGGGCGCAGAGGACGGGCCATCCCCAGCTTGTTTTCTTTTCTAATGAGAAAAAGAAAAGTGCAGATGATGATGGACTCATGTCCAGTACGCAGATGGAAGCAAAATCAAATACTTTTCCAAAAAGTTCTACGTCGCAAGGGTGTGTGTTTGATTTAATGTTTATGTCATTTCCTTTTAAAAGCAAGGTGTAATGAACAAACAAATACATCCCAGAGAGACGCTCTGCCTCATCCTGCGTTTTTATATGCTCACTGCTCATGTTTAGGGCAGCAGCAGCAAGCACATGCCAGAACTTCTGCCAGGAGGTTGAAGTCATAACTCAATCTCTCACTCAGCTCCAAATCCCAGCTGCCCCGCGAGCCCTGGGGTACTGAGTTGGTTGTTAAGGGCTCTGTGGTCTCCCGGAGACAAAGCACTTTCATACATCAGCCCATTATCTTAACCAGCTTCACCACCAGGAGAAATGTCTATACACGTGACTGTAATGCAATGGCCTTACCCATCTTGGTCATTCATCTGGAATTGTCTAAAAGGAACACGGGGTTCAAGGCGGAGCTGAGGAAGGGGGAAAGATCCTCGTTCCACTGTACCCTGGTTCTCTGATGACTGTGGCGAACACATCTGAAATATAACATCAATGAACAGGATTTTCTGGTAATGGCCTAAATTCCAGGTTCCACATGAATTAGAATTTGCTTTGGAAAGTGGAAAATGGGAAAAAGAAACAGGAAAGTCTTGGGGTTTCCTAATCAATCCTGCCACCATCTCCCCCATTTCTTTCCTGCTGTCAGGAAGTAGATTTGGGGACTTGTATCAGGGAATACCTGCCTCTCCTTTTTCCAAAGAATCAAGGCTACAGTAATATCCACATTACCGGGAAAGAAGTCAGAGGCCCTTAAGATTTGAAAACTGGGGAGAGAAAATGCAAAACTAATGGAAACCTCCAAAGTGAGGTATCAGGGCAAAGAGTGGAATCAGGAGGGAGGATCCAAGGTGGACTTTCAACCACATGAACTAGGTTCTGCTGGACGTGAACAATCCAACTTCATGGGAAAAAAAAATGTACACTCTGAAGACTTACAAAAGCAGGAAGCATATCATGGTATGTAGGTGGGTGGTATACATTCCCCATGAACTGTGAAGCCCCTTTTCGGACAGGCTGAGCCGGGCGGAGAGAGGGGTCCTTAGAATCGCTGGTACATGCCGAGGAGGGGGCTCCGTCTCCCGCACTCGAGTTCCTGCTGCCCAGCTCAGTTGGGGAGGCGCTCAGAGACGTGGCAGAAATTATGTTTCGCCCACCGCCCTCCCTCCAGCTTGTCACATCTGGAAATCGAAAGGGGGCAAAGGGGAGAGGAAAGAGGAGGGGGAGGAGGGATTGCATGAGGTTCTGAAGGTCAAGGGACCCCCTCATTCACCAAAAAAAAAAAAAAAAAAAAAAAAAAAAACACCAAAAAAAAAAAAACAAAAAAACAATAAAAACCCCAAAAGCGAATAACTGTCGTGTCTGACAGGGAAGGCTGGGGTGGACACCTGGCCGATGGCATGAACTCGCCGATGGAGGCCGACGGGGAGAGAAGCACGATGAGACCTCCTCGGAGGGGGGCGAGTGCGCACGAGATGTGGCCTCGTCTATTCACAGCAGTCACATACACCCACAGAGCTCACAGCCCAGAGAAAGCAGACAGGCCTGACGAAAACAGCCCTGAGTCACTCCTTCAACAAACACTGCCCCGGCCCCGTCAGGATCAGCAGGATGCTCGGCACTGGACTTGCCGTTAGAACCATAGCGAATTCCTGACAGTGTCTGCAGACTGTTTAGCAGTGGCACCTTCAACACAGTGACCCCCAGTGCCTGAGACAGACAAAACGGAGCTGCCCTCGTTCCAGTCAGGGAGTGGGGCGCTCGTGCCGCTCACAGGCTGGAACCTGCAGACCTGTCTGCCTTTTCTAAATGACGCTTTCCATGGCCAAGTGTAGTGAGATCCGGTGGAAATTACTATAGGCCAGTAAGAGATCAGATGAGCCAAAAGAATTCTCATCTCAGTCAACTTTTGGTTGGGAGCTGAAGCCTGTTAGGTCCTCAAGTTACCTGGTCCTTAAGAGAAAGGGAACCAGGACGAGAGCCATGAACACGGCATCTGGCCCTAGCTCTCCAAGCCCGTTGCTGCGTGATCTTGGCCAAGCCAAGGTCATCCTCTGGCCACCTGTTTTCTCGCCTTCTCCAAGGAGGAGAAGAAACTGATGCTAGAAGCTTCATCTAGAGTTTTAAAATTTTTACAGTCCTACAAAGCAGCTCATCTTAATTAATCCCAGAAAGATACAATTCTTGTCCTGAAAAATCTGATTATGTATTTCAAACAAACAAAATAGCCCTGTGTAGGCCACGGGAAAGGCAGCTCTGTTTACGGCAGAGCTGCACAGCAATCCTGAATGTACTCGACATTGTCAGTTCTCATGTGAACAGGGAGGGCCGTGAGGATGAACCACGACAAGCAAACAAAGCCTCTCACATTTCAGGGCCAGACCAAGGCCCCTGGAAACACGAGCCCCTTCGGAATCCCTGACAAGGACGGGCAGGACACCTTGTTCCTGAACATTCCTGGACACCACCTTAACCTCAAGCCACCCACCGCCTCTAAGAAAATAGTATTCCCAGCACGTAGTGCCACAAGGTCCTGCAAACCCTGGCCAGACACTGGATGAGGGGACAACAGAGACCAGGGCTGGCTGGTTCTGGGACGATCCCCAGGGCAGCCTGTTAAAAGCACAGACTCTCATTTGGTTGGACGAGGGGAGGGCTGCGGACCAGGCTCTTTCGCCAACTCCTCACATGACTCTGACGGGATTCAGCTAGGTTTGGGAACAAGCTCCAATCAGGGGCTCGAGTGCCTGGTCCTCTGTCTACCCTTGCCAGGACCACCCAGCACTGCAAAATCAACAACTGGACGACAGGCGGGAAGGGGACAGGCCTGGCCCAACCCAAGGGACTGGAAAGGCAGAAGTGAGCCCCTGAACAGCCTGGCTAAGTCCACAGCGCACACACAGATCAGGGAAAGGGCCGACAGCCATGTGTTCCAGCTTGGCGGCGGAGACCCCAGCAGTGTGGGCACCCTTCCAAGAGGGCAGGAAGAAGGGGATGTTCTACACTCAGCGAGTGCCAAGACAGACTTTGCGGCCACTTACTCTGAGGGCGGAGGCTTGGTCCTGGCCCATACGACAGATCTAAGACGCCCTTTTCTTTGCCAGCCTTGTCCTGCCCTCCAGCTGCTTTCAGCGTCGGAAATTCCTCGGGAGAGAAGGATAACAGTCGGCTTGAGCCCCTTAAACCTGTCAAGAAAACCGGAAAGACATGAGGCAAGTGAGATGGATCGGCAGTCGTCTGTGTTCCCAGCTCCACGTGCTGAAAGTCACGCTGCTGCTCTGAGGCGGCCACTTCCTCAAGGAGCCACGCCGAGGGCCTCGGTGATGGCCGACAGCACCACGCCCCTCCCCAGCTGACCCGCAGGGGCCCGGCACGTGGTTACAGAGGGCACAGGGTAGGACATCACAGCTGCTGCAGCCCACATCTTGCCCCAGCCCCGGAAGGAGTCAGGAAGGTCCTTCTGACTGCCTGGGTGGGGCGGCAGACACCCACGGCCTGCAGCAAAACCAGCCCAGGGAAGGAAAAGCCAACTGAAGGTGCCTCCCTCCCTCACCTACCCACCTCCCCAAGACGCCCAGCCTAGGTTTTCTGGGGTTTTTGAGACAGTTGCTTGCTCTGTTGTCCAGGCTGGTGTGCAGTGGCGTTATGATAGCTCACGGCAGCCTCCAACTCCTGGGCTCAAGCGATCCTCCCGTCTCAGCCTCCCAAAGTGCTGGGATTACAGGCCCGAGCTCCTATACCCGCGCCCCACCCCCTCCACCCCCACCCCCAGTTTACACACTCCTCCTTCACCTGTCCTTCCTCTGCCTTTGAATGGTTTCGGTTTACCATTTTCTACAAAGTTCCTCAAGCCATGCAAGGCCAGATATTTTGCTCTTGTAATCCTGGAAACAGTTTCTCTGCTCTTTCCTTCATTCTTCAACATCACAAACTTCTTTAGAGAAGAAGCCTTTACTTACTCTTGTTCCCATCATATATGGCACTTAGCACAGAGGTTCTGCAATCATTTTTTACATGAACAGACAATAAATGCTCCATTTTAAGGTCCAGAGTAGGAACTGGTCCTTTCATCTGGAACATGTAGCACAGAAGTGGTCCTACCTAAATAATATCAACAGTAACCTCACACACCACAGTGGCCCCCAGCGGTACGCCTTCTTCCCTAGCCAGTTCACCCCCAATTTTCCACAGGTATTATTTCTTAGCTCCGCTGACTCATGGACCTGGTAACTAAGGCCGGCTTTGCCAGGAAGACACAGCTGGGATGGCTGCAGATGCACAGCGCAGCGATTCACGTGCCATCCGCTTAGTGAAAAGGGTCAAATAAACCCATCAGGGTGATAGCTGGACACTTCATTCACCAACGATTAACCTAAGAGACAGTCTCCAAGCGTCACAAAGGGGCTTTGCTGCTCTGTGGAGGGGGATTTTGACTCACAGAGCTGCTTCGTTATGTTAAAAGGTCACTGGCAAGAACGAAATATGAAAAGTCACGTTTTTAAAATACGGTAGATTATCTGAAATTAGAAAAAGCCCAGCATGTCCAATTATTGCTGTTCCATCCCATTTTTCTGCCTCAGCAGTCAGGAATTAAACTTATCATCCACCAATAAAAAGGATAAAGAGTACAACTCAAAATTTCAAACCAAAACACCAATATCCCCAAGGTTCCAATGTTTTATCTTCACCCACCGTTGTCCTCTGCCATGAGAAACTGAGGCAGTAAAATCAGGGGGCTTCTAAGGCCACACATGGAACCACTGATGGTGCAGCAGCTGGACCAGAGCCTCTGCCCGAACCACACCCTCCGGCCATCTGGGTCTGCCGCAGGGGACTCAAGTGGAACGGACCAAAGACCACCTCCTGCGTGGGGAGGGTCTGTCGATTCAGGAGCAGTCCTTTCGAATTCCAGAGTCATAAAACATTTATGGGCAACACCTCAGAATCCCTACACCCCTGACGGTGCCACAGACACGTGGCCCAGCGGAAGACGGGGAATTGAAGCCGACTTTTACCCGGGCACCCTGGGCCCAGCATGTGTGTTCTCTGGGCCCCTAGGTTCAGCTGTCTCACATGTTGACGGAGAATTTTTACTATGTTTTACGATTCTTTCATAAGGGGCGCACTTGCCAGGTTGCCCAGGCTAGCCTCGACTCCTGGCTCAAGCGATCCTGCCTCAGCCTCTTGAGTGTTGGGGCTGAAAGTGTGAGCCACTGCACTCGGCGCAGAACTATTGTCCACGTCAAGTTTCATTTTTGATAGGTAACACAGTTACATGCTTCAAAAGTGAAAAGCTATAAAAAGTTATAAATTAAAGCCTTCCTGTCACCCTTGTGTCAGGGTGCTTCTGACTCCCTCAGAAAAACTGGTAGTTTTCTATTTCCTTCCGATTTTTTTTAAAAATGCATATGTAATGTTTTTCAGAAGTGTATTTTTCCTCACTCCCATTTTTTACACAAGTGCTGAGATACTAACATACCGTGTATATATTCTTCTTCTCACTTAAGAATATATCCTGGAAACTTGCCATATCAGTAGAACACTTTTCCTTTTTTCTTTACAGCCAAATTATTTTAGTACTTCATTAAAGTACCATGCTTTAATGGACACTTCCAGTGACCGCTTCCAGTCTTTCGCTGCTAGGATGCTGCCGTGAGTAACCTTGTACACAGGTCGCTTGAAACGAGGGCGAGTATAATTTACAGGTGACTTCCTCGTGGTGTAGCTGCTAAGTCCACAGGGGTTATGTCAATTCATACCGGTTTGGTTATTTTAGTCTTTGTAGTTCTTTTTAAATAAAAATTAATACATTCTGCTCACTTTTTAAAAAATTCTAACCTTCCAGAAATACAGGATACAGAAAGCCAAAGAACCAGTTATGAGTCTAGTGAACACTTTTTTTGAAAGGAAGTCTTGTTCTGTTGTCTGGGCTAGAGTGTGATGGCATCCTCATAGCTCACTGCAGCCTCCAACTCCTGGGCTCAAGCAATCCTCCTGCCTCAGCCTCCCGAGGAGCTGGGACTATAGGCACGCGCCACCATGCCTGGCTAATTTTTCTATTTTTTTTGTAGACAGGGTCTCACTCTTGCTCAGGCTGGTCTCAGACTCCTGAGCTCAAGCAGCCCTCCCCCATCGGCCTGCCAGAGTGCTGGGATCACAAGCGTAGCCGCCACGCCTAGGCCGCAGACGCTTTTTATAGAACAGCTTCAATGACCCTTGCAAGCACCACAAGGGCACATGACGCCCCCACCCTCCACCTCACTGCCAGACAGGAGAGTCACTCAAGTTCTCCTACAATGTGGGCTGAGCTGCCCCCGCCCAGTGTGACGTCATGAGCTTCAGACTGTGCCCCCGGTGCCCAGGGAGAAGCTAGAGTGGAAATCCACTCGGGATGTTGACAGGTTTGTCGTTTCCCGCTGGAGACTGAGGAAAGTGCCTTCGACCTCAGGGATTTCCACCCTGACGGGGCACGTCCGCCCAGGCGGGGCAGTCTGGTGGTGGGGTGCAGGGAAGGGGGAACGTGTAGCTGGTTTTCTGACGTAAGCTACAAAAGGCCAAGTCTGGGGCAGCCTTGGTTGGCAGGGATGGTGTGAGAGGTGACACCAGGACAGGGGCAAAGGGTAACAAATACCACAAAACCCTCAGCACGCTTTGGGTCCCAAAGCAAGCAGTTCAATCCCCAAGGCTGGCTTCTTTATAACCGCAAGCCTGAAGCTAAAGCTACCACGCAATGCCTCCTTCTTGTGGTCCGAAGAGAGAGGAAGTAGGTGGGGCTGGCAACACCACTGAGCAGGTTTAATTCCATCAATGGCACAGCCAAACGAAAGAACGCAGGGCCAGCACCCTGGTCTCCTCTGCACACTTCGAGAGAGAAACGCTGCGGCAATAACGTTCCATGAAATCAAAGAGCTGAGATCCTCCGCAGAGCCGGCGCCTCCACCTCCATGGCAAAGGGAAGGGCTCCACGGAAAGTTAACCCTTTGTGGAAGAGACTCCACAAAGCTTCTACGCGCCTAGACCCAACCGGAACAGTCTGGCAAAGGCACTGGTCACCCCTCCCAGCCACCCACAGTCACACGTACACACTTACCACCTTCGTGTCCTACTGGCTTTCCATTCAGCTGTGCCCATGACTTTGGTCCACCTGGCACTGAATTTGTATTCTGAAAGAAGGAAGAAAACAAGAAGAGAGCCAGTTTAGCAAGTCTGCTGTCCAATAACCGAGCACGTTAGAACAAGGTGCGAAGAGGCCACATCTCAGACTGAAACGTCACACGGACCCATCAGCTAACAACACAAGCTCCCCGCGCAGCACCCGCTCCGCGCGGCAGTCCCCGGCGAGGAGCTGCCAGGCCCACTTCACAGACGAGCAACAGGTCACAGGACGAGACCAGCTCAAAGCCACACAACTGTTAAACAGCAAAGCCAGGACTCAGACCCACGTCCACCTCCATGCTGTGCTCTGGAACATTCTGTTAGGTTGCCTCTTATGCCCACACACAGCTACTTTATTTTGTTCCAGAGACAAAGGCCAAACCCCAGTTCCAACAGGTGTCCCTAAAACCATGTGCCACTGCTAAGTGAGGAGGGCAAACCCGGGAAACCCAACGTGCCCATCCGTTCACGGGGAGGGACAGCTGCGATGCAGCGCATTCTGCATCTACGGCTATCCCACAAGGCGCGGCTCCCCACGTGACAGGCTTCCTCCTCCACGAAGCTGGACCTGCCCGTCTCAGCCTCAGCCCCACCAGGGAAGCTCTGCTGAAAGATCACGAGGGTCAGGGGTTACACTAGGCTCACCCAGCCTGATTGCATCCTCACCACACCCTCGGAAGGTTCTGGTCACATCTTGACTGAGGCTCGGAAAGGAGCAACTGACGTAGACACTCAGCTAGAGTGGCAGGAGACCAGGACCTGCTCCCAGCCCACCTGCGTGCAGAGCCCCTTTGCGTCCTCCACCACTGAGCTCACCTGTCTTTTCCAACAACATTCAACTAGTAACCAGCCTTCCTCTTCCAAACGAAGGTGAAGATACACACGACAAAGCCAATGCCACGAGTTCAGTAATCCCCTTTCCCAGCACCGCTTCCTTCCCAGTCCGCCCCTTAGCACCACCACCGCGCACACGCAAGCAGATGATCAGATGCCGCAATCCATGCATTTATCAGAGCTGCCCTGAACGCGTGACACTGGTGGTCCCCCTGCTAGACCACAGAAGGGAGCCACAGGGATGACTCCCTTGCCCTCACCCAAAGGCACTAAACAGAAAGAATGCCTACAGGGCCAAGAAAGGATTACTAGGGTTGCTGGCAAGTTTCTTTCTTTATTTTCTTTTTTTCGAAGAGACACGGTCTCACTCTATCCCCCAGGCTAGAGTGTGCAGTAGAGTAGCTCACTGTAACCTCCAACTCCTGGACTCGTGTGATCCTCCTGCCTCAGCCTCCCCAGTACTTGGGACTACAGGCATGTACCCCCACACCAAGCTAATTTTTTAATGTTCTTGTAGAGATGGGGTCTCATTATGTTGCCAAGAGGCAGGTTGGTCTCAAACTCCTGGCCTCGAGCGGTCCTCCCACCTTGGCCTCCCAAAGTGCTAGGATTATTGGCAGCAGCCACTGTGCCTGGCCAATTTGTTTGTTTTTTAGAGACAAGGTCTTGCTCTGTTGCAGGGGCTAGAATGCAGTGGCGTGATCATAGCTCACTACAGCCTGGAACTCCTGAGCTCAAGGGATCCTCCCGCCACAGCCTCCTGGACAGGTGGGCACCACCACACCCAGCTGCCGGCAAATTTCATCCCCAGAGCAAAACTCCAGTAATACCTCTGATGAGATGTTCTAGAAGTAGCAAAACATAAAACACTGGGTGTCTCTTCTTCTTACCCCACCCCCCACCCCCCTGCATAACGAGAAAAAACCAGAGAGCAGCTAAGAAGAGCTGAGCACTGGATGGTGCCAGGAAAGACATCCAGGACCTGACCCAGTCTCCAGAGGTGGGGTCTGGGTGCATGTAACCAGCTCCAGAGGCAAGTCTGATGTATATGTAGCCAGGGCTGGAAAATCCTGGCTCCGTAATCTCACTCAGTCTCAAATTCTGGGAAACAGAAGCTCAAGTCTATATGCTCTGAGTGGTTGGCAGATGCCAGTGGACTTAGACCAACGAGTATCAGTCCCACATGAATACGGATCCCTTTAATTTGAAAAGCATAATTCTGTGTTGGGCGGGGAGAGGGTGTCCTGGCAAAGCCACAGACTTCCCCAGTGGTTAGAGTGGAGAGAGGACGACATTTCAGACTTTATACTGCCCAGGTAGCAAAAGAAACCCAAAATACGATAGTTTAGGTTGTTGTTCGAAGAGCTGGTGAATACGAGGTATCTATGTCTGCATTTCTTTTTGTCTTGTGAAAAATTCATAGACTTGTCGTCTAGATTTCTAGCTACTAGCTAAGTATTAATATATCCTCCTGCTGATCTCTATAAACTGCAGCCAGACTCTGATGGACTGACTGTATTATAAGCTCTTGCTTGGTTAAATCATGACTTTCTGCTTAGAAAAATATTTTAAATGTATCATCAAATACAGGATGGTAGCTCAGTGTTTCTCAAAGTGTGTTCTGAGAGACATCAGCCCTTAGACACATTCAGTTAAGCAAGGTTTCCACGGATAAATAAATTTGGGAAATACTGTCCATCATGTCTCCTTCTCAGAGATTCACGGTACACATTAGTATATTAAAGGCACCAAGAAGTACTGCAGTGAAAGAGCTTGCTTAATTTTGTTTTTCAGACTCATCTGGCCATTGTACCTTTCTGTGGCCTGACACTTTTTGTCTTCTCATGACACCAGTTTCCATGCAGCACATCTGGGGAAACCCTGAGCTAGCCTGCAGCCCAGCCTGAGTGACCTCACCTCAAGGTAAATCAACAGGAACCAAAGTAGATGTCTGTGTCCTGTTCTGTATCTGGGTCTTTTTCCAGAAGTTGCAGATTAAATTTCTTCATCAGTGACCACAACAATTTCCCACGCTCATTTTCTAAAGTCATTCATCAGGTTTGCCTCTGGAATGAACAGGTCATGCAAAGCCACAATGCTGAGCAGCAACTCCTACCAGTCCCCAGCAACAGGGACGTTCAGGGGCTACAATGCCCAAGAAACAGCCAGGACAGGGTCCCCAGCACCTACCTCCGGACTGATTGACTGTGTCGGTTTCTGCAAATTGGAGACAGACTTCTGCAAACCCGGCTGCGGCAGCGACTCCGGCTGCTGAGAGGCCGTCGCACTGGAACTAGACAAAGGCAGGACACACGGTGGGGATCAGACACAGCACGGGCATGCTGATCAGGTCCCTCTGCGTTTGTAAGAGCCACGCTGCTTAGCTGCTTGCTCACTGGGAACAAGGCCTCCTCCGACCAATAAAAATAATACTTTTCCCAGCAGACTCTTACACTGGCAAAGACTAATGAGAAACTAAACCATATCTGAGATCTATTCACTGACATTTCACAAGACAGGACAGCCTCTGCCTTCTTGCAGTCTCCGTCTGTCTGCAGAAATGGAAAGCTCATTGTAAACAAGGGAAATGATAGAGGGTTTGCCAATAGGGAAACTGAGTCACCAGAGGGAAGGGGCTTGCGCCCCTTACTCCGCACCACACTTACTCACAGGCTGACTGCTTTGAAACACGAGCAGATTTTTACCGTTCTCTTGGCTCATGCATGCTCATAGTAAAAATAAATTTATAAATATATAACACAGAATCCGTCACGATCTCATCCTCCAGAGAGAAACTCCAAGCAGATTTTGCTATACATATGTTAATATAGTATTTTTTAACATAAGCAGGATAACACCACACACACACAAGTCCTTGGCTTATTTTTTTTACTAAGGTTTCTGAACATCTTCTCATGACAACACATATGGATCTACCTGTCTTTTGATGACGACACAGTACAACTTGATGGGCTATAATTTAACCAATCTCCAGTTTGGTTTTTTTTCCCCCTAATAGAGATAAAGCTGTAATAAGAATTTTTTTGTACATATCTTTGCACACTTTTTCTGTAATTCAGTAGCATAAGATCTTAGAAATGGAAATGTTGGGTCAAAAGATTTTTTTTTTTTTTTTAAGTTTTTTTTTTTTTTTTTT